GGTTCTTTTGCATGCTGACGCGAGGAAACGTGGAAGCGTCCTAATATGTAGGTGGAAAGTCGCTATAAAACTGAAATTACCTGATCTTCTATACGTGCTATTAAGGCGCAACAGGTAGCGAGCGGGTTTCTCAAGCAAGAGATGCGGCATCGGTGCTATCGGTTCCCCTGAGGCACCCGGTTTCCGCACTTCCCAAGAACATGGCCGACAAAACTTCCAACATTCTTTGCTCGCCTGCACTAGCCTGTAAGGAGAACCTGGGATCGGTTTTTCAGAGAATGTAGACCCATTGTGACCTGAAAGAGTGTTCTGCTTGTACCCCTCGTAACACGTGTCACAAGGGTTTTTGCAATGAAATACCATCATATAATAATATCATATTCATGTTCAGCGGGTTAAATTACCCCTGGGGACAAGTTTCTGAGCCTTTAACTTTACAGGCTATCACGAAGGCGATAGCGCCGAAACGTAAGTCGAATAAATCATCGTATCATTTTGGTTCCAGCTTTAGCAGCACACCAGAGGTGACCTCACAAGATGCTAACTGTAAGATTTATGAATGACCGAACGTAGGCGCTCATATATTACTTCTGTTCAATCAGTCGAATCAATTAGGTTCCCTGATTTTTGTAGTGGAGTGGATTTTGGTAACCAGAAAGACGAACCCATTGTTCCTCTTTTTTTCTGCAAGTTTCTCGAACATGTTGTTGTTAGCGACAATTAGATTTGTGAGACTAAGGTAATTCACTTAATTACATAAACAAGGGTATATAAAGGTTGGATGCTAGTCTGCGGTTTCGTTGGCGTCACTTGCTGGTGATAGATGGCGAACTTTCAAGCTAGCTTTACAAACAGCATATTTTGACACCGATTTTTTGCTGAAGTGTGACGAAAAGTTGCGAAACTTGTACTTGAAACGGGAGAGCGGTGCTGATCTCGCTAGTAAATTTTGCCTCAGTGACTGAACATCGCTTTCTACTCGACACGTGGATTTTTCCTTCCAGATTCAGTCTATAGCACGGCGAAAGTGGTGGGCGTGCAAGGGGAGCTCAGGAGCTATGGCGTTTCTTGCCACTTGCTATCAGTTCAAGCCGGCAACTGTTCGCAATAAAACGCAGCCGCCGCTGGGTACGAACCCATGCCCCTCAATCGCCCCATCGACCTACTGAAATCATTTCGCTCTCACAGTACTTTTGATCCGACTTTCAGAACGCTTGCAGCTCACTTACAGTATCTTTAACGAAAATTCTGGGTCATATTGGGATTGAGAAAGCAATGCAGTCTTCATAATGCTTAGATGCTCAGGACTAAGTTACCT